AGTCGAGAAAACACATCAGCAAGAGATGGAAGTGTGGGACTGCCCATAATCTGTGAATGAAAAGACTCATATGTTGATGATAGACCAGTAAGAAAACGGACAACATTAAAGTCTTCACGTTGTTGTTGCATACTTCGAACATCAGCATTAATGGGTTGATACATATTTAGCTCCTCACAGACTCCCATAACTTTGGAATAATACTCTTCTATACTGTGATTACCTTGTTCAAGATTGAAGTACTGTTTACAAAGCTCATAAACATGAGTGATATTACCTGTCCCAGAATACAGTTGCTGCAATCTGTCCCATATCTCCTTGGCAGTATCCAAATAAAGTAAAGTTGAACTGATTTGGGGTTTAATACTGTTTATCATCACAGAGATGATCTGAGCATCTTCCTTTTCCCATGCATCAAAAGAAGCATCCGTTTCCTTGAGTTTCTCTTTAGTTAGATGAGTACCAAGGCCTTTACCTTTGAGAAAATTTTTAACAGATTTGGCCCACAGTATGTAATTCTTCCCATTGAGTTTAACTGAAGTCATGGGAGAATGAAGACTGGATGTGGGAGAAAATAAATCTGAACTGGATGCCATGATGAATCCAGCAAAAACAGAGAAGAAGAAAAAAAAAAATGTTGAATCTGTATTTTGGCCGAACTTGAAAAACGGGCCGGATCTGGGCAAACGGACCGGATCTGGTCAAACGGGTCGGATCTGAAACGGGTCGGACTAGCCCCAGATTTCTGCAAACCTGGTTTTAGTAAACCAAGGTTGGGATAGCTTCACACCTGTAGCCAAACAAGTCTACAAATTGGGTTTATGTAAACTTGGATCAGGATAGCATATCCTGGTTTGGGATAGCTCCACACCTGCAACCAAACACGTCTCTTCTTCTCCGTGATCAGCGCCGACGAGAACAGAAATCTGCTACCGACACTAAACTTAAGCAAAAGAGGTTCGCGAATGAAGAATCGAGGCTAATACACCCTAGCCCTTGCAGCGGCGACGGCAAGCCAACAAAAAAAAAACAGCGATGATACAACACGAGCTTCAGATCTGAGAACAAAAAAGCTTCAGATCTGAGAACAACAGACCAGAGGCGCTGACCACAACACCAGCTTCAGATCTCCGGCTCTGAACAGAACGACGAACAGAGCTCCGGCGAAGAACATCTCTTTCTCTCTTATTTCCGGTATCGATCAGAGACTATCTCTTTCTCTCTCGATTTTGATTTGTACAAGAACACACAGACGCAGCAGAAGCACTGATTTGAGAACTAGCAGCCACCAAGAAAGAACAGCTCTGATACCAAATCATGAGAGAGAGAGAGAGAGAGAGAGAGAGAGAACTTGTATGTATATATTTCACACACCAAATCTAATTAGCCTATGTAGGCTTATATAAAGGATACAAGGCAACTACATAACACAAGGGCCCTACCAACTGTATGTAATTACATAATGGCTCAACATATATATATATATATATATATATAACATTCTAACAGTATAGATATACCACCTCCATCCCCATATTATTTGCCCACCTTTCCATTATTAGTTATCCCAAAATAGTTCTCCCTGTTGAAAAGTCAATGTATTATATTTTATGACATTCCTAATTTAACCTTCTTGCATTGAAGTTATAAAAACAATTAAAGTATAAAACATGACATCACTACAGACCCGCCATGGGTAGATTTGGTAATTTATTCACCAACAATACCATTAAAAAAACATTAAAAGTCATCATCTTATTAAGTTAGGTTCCCAAAATGGGTCAAATGATATGGGACGGAGTAATTGACATAGGCTGCAGCTGTCCTCATACAGCACTTCCTATTTGTGTCAGTCCTTCACAACTTGGTTCATAGGCTCAATACTCTCTACCTCAGCAACTTACACATGCACACGTACACGTACCCTTATCTGCAATGGTAACTATTAAGATTAATTAAAAATGAAGAATATATTAAATTGTGAAGTTTCTTAAAGAAATGATATGAAAATTGAAGTCGGCCTACCCCAGTTTAATTTATCGCTGGAGAAGTGTTGGATGGGTTGCACATATTAGTGTAAAGAAGAGGAGGAGGGCTATCATGAGGAGGCTACCTAGTTTAGAGTTTAGACATTTTCCTTCAATAACTTTTCCAAATTGTTCTTGTTTGGCTCAATAGGTAGGAATAAGAGAGTCACAGAGAAGAGGTTTTGTTTGACCCCAGGAGCTAAACAGAGCCATGCCATCACGTTACAGTTATCTGTTTTCATTTCTTTGGGAACGTGATCTTCCCTGTGAAGGTTAGATGCTTTTGGATGAGTAACAGTTTTTTGTCAAAAGTGGCAAACAATTATAATGAATATAGAAGTGCATATAGCAGTGGCAGCCATTGATGGAGGGTAACCAGGTTCAGTTAGAGCAGGAAGTTTTCCCAATCCTGGTGATTAGTCAGATGGAAACTGGGTATTTGGTGTGTTTATATGTATATGTATATATATAATTTGAATGTACACAATATGCATTGCAATTTACCACTATGGATCCTTCCAGTGGTCTGCACCAAAGCAGAATATCCAAAAGATAATTTGATACACATTAACAAGGATTGACCATCAGCCATATGAAATATTTGATCTGTTGAAACTGGACTACCCAATGAAACCCATTTTGACCAGCCAATGTACCATTCGGTCAAAGATTTATTTTTATTTTTAAATATAGGATTTCTTCTCTGATTTGCTCCCACGTTGGCCATGGACCCGCTATTATAGTTTTTTTTTCTGGCCCATTACTCAAATTCACGAGTACTATATGGTTCATCCATTTTTCTGACAAATCTAATTAGAGAGAGAGTGAGAGAGTCTATTAGGGTTTTTGAAATGAAAAAGAAGAAATGAGGACAAAGGAGAAATGAATGAGAATATGAGATGGCAGGATTTTTAGACATGCAAAGTTTCAAATGAGGAAATTTAGTAAAGTAAAATGAATCATTAATGCCGTTAAACCAACCTCTCCGACAGGGGAGGTCAGGTTAACTTGTAAAAAGAGAGGAGAGGTCGATGTGATTTTGCTTAATCTAGGGGAGGTTAGTGTAATTTATCCTTATTATCAGTCCTACTAAAAGGACATTGCGTAGAGCATGTCCTGCCTAGGGGAGTTTAGTACCACCTCTCCCTGACTACAAATATATATATATATATATATATATATATATAATCAGTTTTACATGACTTTTGAAATCTTTTGAGGTTCCGTTGTTCTTCTGGATTATTTGGGGTCCTGGTGTCTTGCATTGTTGATGAGGGTAAGTGGACAACTTTTGTGGCTCTCAGTTTTGGTCAGATTTATTCCATGCTGAACTTGGACAGGGTCAATTTGAGGAGCTTGCTGTGGAGATAGGTCTCTGGTTTGTGAACTGAATGCCTTTCCTGGTGATTCTAGATGCATTTGGTTCACAGAACCACAGCCGGGAATTGAAATGCCAAGGCTTGAAGTCCTCTGGGACATGGAACTATTTATGGGCAGATAATATCTATTGCATCAGGATGCATGCACAATTGACAATTAGGATGTGTCTTATATGTCACTCAATGCGTAGTTTCATTGAAGGTCCTGAGTGTTCTTTCCAAAGGTTATACTGGGTTGGTTTTTGATGAAAAGGGAGAGATTTATCATTCTGATTTCCTAGTTCTCAGATTGCTTTTCTTCTTTATAATCTACCTTAAAAGAATGACTTAAAGAGCGTTGCTGGAAAATGCTAAAGCCCTAGCTTTTGCCTCAACAAATTCAAAGTATGTCACATAAGTTATTATTATTGTATTCTAATACTTAACCGGTCAAATAATTGGTTAAAGCTCTCTCTTAATCTTCTCTTTGTAAGACTTTTCATCAAGAATTATTAAAAGTTTCTGTCAGGTCAATAGGACTTGGATTGATAAACTTCAAAAGTTGTTACTGTTGTTACCTTTTTCTTAAGGTTGATGAAGGAATTTGAAGCTATACATAAGGGCAGTTGCATAATCTTTTTTCACAAGGGTAAAAAGGTAATTTAACACTTTGATACAATTACCAAATTAGGGTTTATGCATGCATGATTAGGGTTTCTAATTTTACATGTTTTTGATTTGATAAGATTTCTGGAAACTTTCTGTTCTGAAATTTTTCTAAGTATAAAACTATGGTAGACTTGGATCGATTGAGCTTTTGATCGAGGGCCACTGGAGTTTTGTGGAACAATCGACCTACTCTTTGATCGATGAACTTCCAGTTTCTTATAGAATACAGTTTTTGAGGAGATGAATGAAATGCAGTGGTCATTACACAATCAACAGTTCAACTCACATATGATGCTTTTAGCTTAATGCTTTTACATAATCAATTTAATAAAAGTTCCATAAACTAAATTCACTTGTTCAATTTAGTTGTGCTGCCTTTTGATTCTCTTCTCTGGGTTAAAGAAAATCATTTTCACAATTTTACTGCATCATCACATTCCAACTATCATTATATAGGTCGTTTCCCATTGTACCACATTTTGGAGTATGTGGCGTACCGAGCCTGCATTCCTGTTCTATGTCCAGAAAAATTCACCTACCTGGTAACAATGAGATTATATGAAACAAAAAGAAAATAAAATATTTCTTATGTTCTATTGTTCTGATCTAGTAATTAATAACGAGTTGTGCTTCAACCTTAATTATACTTATCCTTTCAAGTGCAGTAGTGCTCCCCATCTCCCTTTCTCCCCAGATGATTCAACAAGGTAGATTTAATGGTTAAATTTGCTATAGTAAATTTGGGTATGTTCAAAAAGAGATGCCATCCGATTACCCATAATACTGGTTTGATAAATTTAATAGAGTCCATTGGCTCTTTCCATTGTTGATTGTGTAGAAGGTTGTGTATACTGGTAACAATAGTTCATATTATTTTGCATGCCATTTTGTTACAAATACTACTTTCTTCTCGGAGAATGATATTGTAACTGAATTTTATTTCCAGGATCCAAAATTTTGGAATTACAGACCTTTGTCTGGACGCATGGTCCATGCAGCCGCAGATGATGTCCGTTTTCTTCTTTACATTTACCACAATATGCTGGATAAGTTGAATGAACAATCTTTATGGAAACTTGCTGTTCGTGGTGCACTTTGTTGTAGATGTTTTTGCATCAATGATGATGATGAGTATGTTGATTGGCCATCTATTCCTTCTATTCCAGGTATGCTCTGACGGACAACCCAAATTCCCCCATCCCCCTTTCCGATTCGCACCACACACAAGCACGCTTAGGTGATGCACTATTTTATTAAAATATAAGAGATTGAATCAGTTGCCATTGATGTAAGTTAACAACCTTCTACTCCCTCCGTCCCAATTTAGTTGTCCATCTTTCCTTTTTGGGTTGTCCCAAAATACTTGTCCACTTTCTAAATTCAGACAACACATTTCGCGTCTTTCCATTGTTAGAGTGTTTCTCAATTTTATCATAGTGCTTTATTTGAGGTAGATAAATCTTTAGTTGAGGTAGAGCTATAAAGAGGTCCTTGTTTAAGGTGGAGCTATTGAGGAGCACACGAAGATAGAATTTTGAGCCAAGGTGGAGATTGTTGAGTTGTGGCTCAAAATTCACCCAAATAATTCTATTCTAGAAAAACACGGTTGCGTTTTAGTGGAACTAGTTGCGTTTGGGTAGAATGGTTGTCTGAAGAAACGGGACCAGTTGGCGCAACTAGTTACGCTTGCCTGATATGTGCAAGAATTAGCTTCCTAATCAATTTTGGAAGCCAGAAGACTTGGGGAAAAGGCTGAAGATTTGGGGAAGAAGTTGTACCTTCTTTTTTAGAGTTAAAGATTGATATGGTAACTCCTTGTATGCAAGTTGGGGAATACTTGTCCAACAAGGAATTGGGTTTTGAAAACTCTATTAATAGAGATGGGTATGAGAGGTGTTAAGAACCATCTACTCTAAAAGCTTAAGCTGTTAGAGAGGGTGCAACTTTAATATTTATGTCCTTTAACACGCCCCCTCATGTGTGACCTTCTTTTGGTCCAACATATGTTTTTCAATTTTTAATCAGGGTGACTGTGAGGTTTGAACTCGAGACCTTTGGCTCTAATACCATGTTAACAACCATCTACTCTAAAAGCTTAAGTCGTTAGAGAGGATGCAACTTTAATATTTATATCTTTCAACAAGAGGTTTAGAGAGAAGAGAGAAAAGATGTAAGGGGTTTAAGGGTGAGTGTTGTGAGGAGAGAGGAGAGTATATGTAATTCCCAAGTGTATATATGTAGCCTAAAAAAAGATGATGAGTGAGTGATTGGGGTTTTGACATGTGGTTGTATATTCATTTCCTTGATTCATAATAGTGAAATCTCTCTCTCCATGGATGTAACTCTAGAGTTGGGTGAACCATGTAAAACATTATGTTGTGTGTGGATGCGTATGATTGTTATCTCCATATATGCATGTGTTGATATGATGTGATGATGCTTCCCCTGTGTGTGATGAATGAGGGATTTAACTCTCAACAACAGCCGACCATTGAGTGGGTTAGAAGAAGTTAATTTTCCCCAACAATTGGTATCAGAGCCAATGGTGGGTTAGAGCCTGTGATTGGTCCTAAAGATCAGTAGTAAAAGATTAATGCAAAGTTTGTTAAAGCAGATGATGATCGTGCTATGGAGATTCAATCAGAGTTTATGATGACACGAAGAAGATAGATGGTGTGAAGACATAGGCCCATGAGGAACAAGTCTTGGGACAAGCCAGAGGATGCTAGTTTCCAAGATGAAGCAAAGGTGATAGGGGTGAAGCCCATGACGAACAAGTTTTGGGCATAAGCAAAGAGTAGGTGCTAGTTCTCAAGATGGGGCAAGGGTGTGAAGAATGAAGGGGTTTGTTCTAAGCCCGATAAAGAGCAAAGGGGAATATGAAGAGTCAAGAGGAGAGGTTTGTTGCTTTGATCCAGAAAAACAATTGATGAAGATGAGTTGAAAATTGGTGGGTTGCCATGCGTGAGCAATTGAACACCAATGAGGTGGATAGAGAAGATAGAGAAGAAGCAGCATGATGAATTTGAGAAAAGGTGGAGTGTTTCTCAATTTCATCATAGTGCTTTATTTGAGGCGGAGAAATCTTCAGTTGAGGTGGATCTATGAAGCGTTTGAGGTGGGGTTATGAAGAGGTCCTTGTTCAAGGTGGAGCTATGGAGGAGCGCATGAAGATAGAATTTTGAGCCAAGGTGGAGATTGTTAGAGTTGTGGCTCAAAATTCACGCAGAGAATTCTATTATAGAAAAACGGAACTGGTTGCGTTTAGGCAGAATGGTTGTTTGAAGAAACGAGACCAGTTGCGTTTTTTCATAATAGAATTCTCTGCGTGAATTTTGAGCCATAACTCTAACATCCTTAAAATACCCTTAGACTTTAAAAAAAAATCAAACTTCATTATATATATATATACTTGAAAGGGTAATTTAGTAATTCTCAAAGGGGACAATGCAATAATTACATGTCCCCTTAAAAAGTTATACTCCCCAAAAGTGACATCTAATATGGGATAGAAGGAGTATTTCTTTGTTTCTGTCGCAAGCCCTTTCAATGGCATGTGGAAGGGAAAGTGGGTGGGCTGTGGTGAAGATGGGGGCGCAATTTTATGGGAGAGATACAATCACAATGGAACGAGCTAGGAGTGTTTAATGAAAAGTTGAACAGTGAGGATCAACATCATCAGTCTCAAGCTCTTGTTGTACAAGAGAATAAGAGGTTTGAAAGAAGGAGCTCCAGTGAATTTTGTGCCAATGTCGGAGATAAGGTGCTAGAAGTGTGGGGAAAAGGGGCATCTTAAGTGGTGGTGTCCAAAAGGAAGGAAAATACATCTGTTGTTGTTGTTGTTGTGTATGAGGCTATGAATGGGGAAAGTGATGTTGATGAAGCCCTTTCAATTGTTGATAGCAAGAGAGAAGCAAAGGAGTGGATACTTGATTATGCTTGTTCCTTTCATGTGTCAAGAGTGGTTTACCTCCTACAAACCTGTAATTGGTGGGAAATAATTATTCTTGTGATGTTGTGGGAATTGGGACAATCAAAATTAGGACAACAAATGAATTGGTAAGGACCTTAACGAATGTACGTCATGTTCTAAGTGTTCAAAGAAATGTGATTTCTGTAGGGGCTTTGGATTCAAAAGGTGGTTGGTGTGAAGTAAAGCATGGGTTGATGAAGATTAGAAGAGAGCCATGTATCATGCTTTTGGAAAGGAAGGTTAATAATCTCTATGTTTTATTGGAAGTACCTTGTTAGGTGAAGCAGTTACAAAGACAGAATGGAAGCCTATTTCTAGATCTACAAAAGTAATGGATGATCAAGAGTGGCAAGGGAAGGAAGAAGTCTTGGCAATCGCAGCAGCACCAACCTTCATCCCAGAAGCAAGAAAAGTTCGATTTGGTGATGTGAGAGTAGATTCCAAGTTCAACTATTTGAACTTGGAGTTTGCTAGCACTAAGTAAGTGATGGAATGGCGAAGAACGACAAAAAGGAAGAAGATGTTTGGTTTGAGGTGGAGGAATCTTTGTTTAAGGTGGAGCTATGGAGGAGCACGTTGATAAACGAAATTTGAGCCAAGCTAGAGATTGTTGGAGGATGTCTCAAATTTTGTCGAAGGATGCTATTCGGAAGAAGTCCGACCAGTCGCATTATTTTCGACCGGTCGCACTTATCAAAGTGTGAAGACTGAGGTGAAAGTCCAACCATTCGCACTATTGCGGACCGGTCTCACTTTCTTGATATGTGCAGGAATCAGTTTCCTTTTCCGTTTGGGACTTTCCAAAGGGCCTAGACTTGTGGAGGTAATTGTTTCTCATTGGGATGCTTCTATTGTAGAGTTGGACATTGTTTTTGTAACTCCTTGGTAGGCAAGCTGTGGGAATTCTTGTCCAACAAGGAATTGGTAATTGAAGACTCTATATATAGGAGAAGCTAGAGAAGAAAAGTTTGGAGAGAGAGAGTGAGTTGAGTTGAGTTTGTGAGAAGAGAAGTGTGTAATCCTTATATTGAAAGAAAGATGGTCGTTTTTTGCCAGTGGAGTAAGCAATTTGTTGAACCACATAAATCCTGTGTTGTTTGTGTGTGTTCTTTTTCATCTGTTTTATTTGCCATTATAGTGTGATATCTTGGGGTAATTCCTAACAGTATTAGGGTGCGGGTGTGTGTCTAAGCACTTGACCTTTCTAAATCCCATATTGTGCGTCGATGTGGGTTCCTGTGTCAGACACACATCTCATATCCATACTTATATTGTATTGTGTCGACACTGGTACATTGAGGGGAATGGTAGAGTCCATGTAATAAAACTTGTAAGGAATTAAGGTAGCATAAGTGAATGGTGCTGTAACTTTTTTTGGTGACTGTTTGCTGGAAACAGGGCAGCCAAAACTTGTGTGCTAATAGTTGACTTGACAATGATTGATTCTATTTTTCTGCAGAAGCAATTAGTAGATAAGTGGAAATTTCTTGAAAACTTCACATGATTTGTATTGATATTGCGAGTTGATCTTACAAGGCCTACATTTAGGGATGGAGCCAATGTAGGCTCGGGAAGAAGGGTGGGGGCGTGCCCCCCTTGCACCGGCCCCTTCCAATAAATATTTTTATTTCTCATTATATATCATATACATTAGACATGGTAATCATATGATATATTCAAAGTGTTGTAACTATTGGAGTTGTGCTATACAACAATTATAACAAAGCTGCTTCAAAGTAATCTACCAGATTATTGAAGATGGACAATTTAGTTGCAGAAGATAGATTCAAGTTGAAGAGGTAGTGTTCGAGTGTACTGAATGCTGTAGACAGATTAGAAAGACGACCTGGAGATCTTTGAAGGACTGAAGGCTTGGTGTCTTACTGTGTGTAGGGATCAACTAGTGTTCGAAGGATTGAACAGATCTAGGTTGTACATTTTTTTCTTCATGGTGGATTATTTTGATTTTTTGACTCCCAAAAGGGAGTTTTTCTACGTAAAACACTGGTGTGCATTTCTATACTTAACTTATTTCACACTTTAAATTGTTTTACATTATTGCATGATTGATTGATATGGTGATATACATGTTTAATTTGTGATATCAATTAAACATATGTTTATTTGTTTTTGTTAAAGCAGAGAATATAAATTGAATTATCAAATGGTATCAGGGTAATATCAAGTCTAACCACAAGTTTAAAGGAGCATCTGTAGTTTGAGAACTAGTAGTGGGGAATTAGAGAAGTTTCTGTTTCCTGTTAGTATACACACTGGGTTAACTATAGCCCTTCTATTTTGGACCAGCTAAAGGTGAATCAATTGCGTAAAAAAATAGATCTTGTGGCGTAAATCTGCGGATGATGTGGTGTTGGTTGCTGAAACTAAGATGGGGTGAAACAAAAGGTGTGAGGTGGTCATTTGAAGTTTCGGTGATTTAAAATAAATATATTTCTAGCATATTTGGTGTAGCTATAATGCGTTGGGAAGAAATGAATGAAGCTGATGGACCGGCCCTCTAGTAGAAATCGCATCCAATCATGAAAAACTTTTTCTTTCATTATGATGAAGTGGAGAATTGTTATTAGTGATGTAATTACGTAGTTGATTTGAAAAACAGTAAGATCTTCAATATGAAGACCTGGAATTGCTTTTTTGGAATGCCAATTAGAGCCTTAGTTTGTGTGGTATGCTTTATTGCTGATCGCTCGTGTAGGCAGTCTGGAGAGAATGAATAATCTATCTTTGTAATCTTGTGGTTAGGCTTGATTGGAGCCGAAAAACGAAAGGAAAAAAAAAAAAAAAAAAAATTTGCTTTCTGTACCCTGAGGAAGTGGGTGTATGTGTTTTGTATGTACTATTGAGTGACATCTTTATATGGGTTACGATGATCCAGTCAGGATATGAGGCTCCTTGATCTTTTTTTCTTTCTTTATTTTAAATTTCTTTTTCGGGGTGGGTTTAACCAAGAAGCAACAGAAATTGAACATGTTCGTGTTAGGCTCTAAATTACTTTATGTATATGTGTATTTTTCTTTATAAAAGTAGAACATATTATGATTTTCGTAAAACATAGTTTTATTATGCTACAAATTTCATCCTATGGACTGATTTAAATTGAGCATTTGGTTGAATTTTGTTTTTGCTTCTGGGGCTTTTGTGAAATCATGCATTGAATGATAAAGTTTGATTTATCCCGCCAGACAACCTCATTGTAGAAGGCAATGCTCCAGAAGAGGAGATCTTGTCAGTGCTCAACGTTCCTCCTGGAAAAATGGGTTGCATCATTGGTAGAAAAGGATCTTCAATTTTGTCAATCAAGGAATCTTGCAAGTAACTCTCTCTCTCTCTGTGTGTGTGTGTGTTGCTTTTAGATCATGACCTGATATGCATTCTTCAGAGCTGAAATTCTAATTGGGGGAGCAAAAGGACCACCAGATAAGGTTTGTTCATGAACTCTACTAGTGGCTTACCACTTTTTTTAGTCAAATCTAAATGCATCTATTCCGGATATTGTTTTATACTGGGGTATTATATTAAAAAAGGAACTGATTTAGTATTTGGTGTTCATAAATAAGTTCTAAAAATTACCACCAATGTTTACTTTTGTATTTGCTCTCCCTCACTGAAGCTAATTGCTGCACCCTTCTTTCTCATGTTTAAATTCCATCGGTGCACTCTGCACACAATTTAATTAAATAAATCATTAAAACTAAATCATACCAGCAATTTGATCTTTTTTCATTAACTTACCTATTATATCAATTGCTTACTCTCTGTATTTCAATATTGAAACGAATCCATAAACCTCTGTGTAGGTATTCATCATAGGACCTGTGAAGCAGGTGAGGAAAGCAGAAGCCATTTTAAGAGGAAGGGTGTTAAGAAATACATTCTGAGCCTTCTGTTGAACAATGGCGAGTCTTGGTGATGGATATCAGAGCATGAATTCAGGTTACATTTTGCTTTTGATCTCCAAAACAAACTTGAGAACCCCTATTTAACTATCTCCATGTGTTAAGAAAGAAAAGAAAAGACAAAGAAATAGGAAAAAAACTGAAAATTGTTAAACCCCTATTTACCTATCTTCATGTGTTAAACCCCTATTTAGTAATTGGAACTCCTCTGTCTAGCAAATTGTTTGGTTGGCATTGGGACTAAACTTAAACCATTAGCAATAGGAACTTTTTTTCAGGATTGTCTTCTGGGCCTAAGCAAATGTATGCATTGGTCTTTCCAATGGATTGATAAAGTTGGTATGGACTTTCTACACATACTGACTAGAAAGTAGCCTCAGCCTAAAGAACCGACCCATCACATTGCAGTTTGAGGCTTTGAGCCCAAATTTAAGGTGTATTTCTCTTGCAGAATGCCTTTTTGAGAATTAGTGCCTTTCCAGGCTTGGGAGCCTTGGAAGAGTTGGATGTGAAGTCACTCGACTTTATACAACTTACCAGATTGAATTTTAATTTGATAATAGTATCATATTCATCCCATAAAAGTAAACCAGATCATTATATTTGATCCTTCGATTCAATTATAACTGCATTTGATGATTTGGAGTGAGATCCTAACCTAACAATGGCCGACGTCAGTTCCACAAATCAGATATTAATCGAGTCATATTAGGAGCATCACCTTCCCCTATAGCACTAGTTCATACCCCCAATTCATGTGTCCGGTTAATTGAAAAAAAATCTCTCAGTGGCTTGTTTTGAAGGAAGTGAGGTACCTCCATTTTATGAGGTGCAGTTTTGGACAACCATGTGTTATTCAATTTCAGAGCGATCATTGTTTGATAGAATGGTAAAAATTTGAGTATGGTGTTGATGGCGGCTATTTTATATAAGAGTAACTCTATTACAAGGATGATTTAACTGAGTTTGCGCCCACAGTCACTAAATTGAAAGCATGACCCCTAACATTTTCAATCATAAGCTCGCGTGAGACTTAATGATTTTCTTTAGATTATACAAAAAATGATAAAAAGTTGAGTTGTCCGAGTGTTTTTTTAAAGTTACGAGACTCTTGTCATTGCACCAAGTTCTGAGGAGGGCATGTAGAGAGACGGTTTCTTATTTTGAACCCGTAATTATACTTTCAATGGTAGTGTTATGGGTGTCAATGTCGTGACAATGGGCAGCCAGCTTGGGAATTATAGGATTACTAGTAGTTCTAGAAAAAGTTGTGAAAGTGACGGTTCAATGTGAAAGGGGATAAGGGCCTTTCAATGGGCCACTTTTGCTCTGGACCTGGCTCGATGGCCGTCTAATGGCAAAGAAAATGCGTGCATGAACACGAAACCTCGCAACCACAAACTGTCAACCATTATGAGAAAGAAGCTGCTAATTGATGATGATCATATGTGCCGACATGCCCTTGCACCCCTTGTGCTTAAAGGCTCCATAGTGTTGGCAATTTGTCTTTTTACTTTTGAACCCTTGTTGCTCATGTGATGGTAAATTCTAGATTGTGATGTATTGGTATTTTTTGCAATCCTTTGGACATTGATGAAAACAAAATAATGAGTTTACATATCCAAACGAGTCATGTCTTGTAGAGCCCAAACTTTAAGTCCGTGAAATTGTTTTGGGCAACTAAAAACAATTACCTTTGTTTTGTGAAAGCACTTTTGTGTAATGTTTGTTGTGCAAAAAGACAATTATATTTCTAACTAAAGAAAAAATTAAATGGATGGAAATGTCGTGAATTGGGGGTATAATTGTCTTTTCACACAACATGTATCGGACAAAAGTATGTTCACAGCAATTTGAAAGGCATTTTTTTTTTCTTCATATAAAGTAAAAAAAATTAATACATCTGACAATAGTCAGTTTGAAGTAATTGTAATTATTCAAAACATAGAGGTAAACATTGAGAGAGGGAAGGTAAGTGTAATTTACCTAATAAAAAATGGGTTATCAAACTGACTTAATTCATTCAAGTTCAAGTGTTGAATTAAGATATTATATGGAATCTTAGTCTACTACTTTCAAGAATTTATATTTGTGAAATCAAATTCGAATAATTTATTTTATTTTATTTTATTTTATTTTTCCTTGAGATACTCCAAATTAAAACTTTAGTCCTTGAACAAAACCTTTAAATGTGCAGTTAGAAATCTTCTTCCTTTTTCTTTTACAAAATTAAATATTACATAAAGAAAATTGAAAATGAAAAGTTTATCAATAATTTATACATATATAGATAAGTGCTATAACTAATCTTGAAATCATAATGGAAATAAAAAACTTATTATGTTGATCTCATCATGTATGAAACATTATAGGCAGCACAAATATAGCAGGCAGCCCAAGTTGGACGGAGTTGAAACTTGAAAGATTTGTTTCCAGATTTGACCCCCAAAAATCAAATGAACATAATACACACAATTACACACACATACATACATATGTAATGTCAAAGACAACACATTCACATGATCACATCAAATGTGATCGTAACATTGTAGAGGATAATGTCAATTTAAGAAAGAGAGAGATTCGGACTTTGAGTCGATCAGTGGGAGTGTGTGTGAGTGCATCAAATGGTCCCAGTCACTGCTCCACCACTGTTCATTGATTTCCCATGTGAGACATGGCTATCCCACCAGGTGACCACCCAATCATCTTGAGCCACGTATGAATTCAAACGTTGGGTTCACGTGTGGACGGTAATAATAGAAAATAGAGAGAATATGTGGGCCCTATATTGTTGAGTGGGGACCATGACTTGGCTGAGCCGAGCCGACAAATTAACATGGAAGAATACGGCTTGAAAATGACGTCATATAAGCCGACAGACAAACCACGTCTCCGTTACCAGAAATATCGCGGGTGAGGACGGAGGGTATTAATTGAGATTTTGACAATCTAGAGAGAGAGAGAGAGAGATGGGGGGTGGACCACCTGTATTGTTGAATGTGGGTCATTGGATATGGCCTATTGGCTTTTTAGGGATATACACCTCTTGATCAACGGTTGAGATCACGGTGATTGAAACACTTAAGGAAGACAATTTCGAGATTTGATATGAACGTTTGTTTGTTTTCCATGTTGCCGTGTTTCTTGTCCAGAAATGAAATGAAACATTATTCATGTGTTTGGTACGTAATTTTAAGTGAAAATTACATTTTATTGAAATAAAAATTTATTTTATAACTAAGTCTGTAGACATTCATTTTATTTCTAAATAAATTTTTTAAAAAATTTAAAATTTTAAAATAGCCTTATATTCTAAGTCCAAAAATCACTACTATCTCTAAATTTCTACCACCACCACAACCACTGCAAACTCTATTGCCTCCCACCACCGTCATTGTCATTGCCACAATTATTGCAGCCTTCAATAATCACACCGTCGCCTTCTCCGATAGCTACTTTTCATAATCGCCACCACCACCACTATTTCTATCACATTCCACCACGCACTACCACCTTCAACCACAATCACCTCCATTGCCTAGCTTCCACCACCACTGTCTCTGCCATCACCATCGCCGCCTCTTCTACCTTTCGTCGTCGCCTCCACCACTAACACCATTGCCACCGCCACCAACTTCCACCACTACCACCACACCACCACTGCTATCGTCTTCCACCAACACCATTGCTGCCTTCTGCCACCAACATTACCGCTACTACCACTGTCTTCCAACACCACCACCTATACCAGTATTGCTTTCCACCTCCACCACTATTGTCACCGCCACCTACCGCCGCCATAATGACTTTTAAAAAAATTATAGAAGAATATTATTTTGTTAATTTAATTTATTTGCCACTAAGAGGGGTATGTTGGAGAATTCAATTTAAGATTCATTCCATTCTAAATTTTAAATTTGTTCAACTAAATACTAAAATAGTTATTATCATTTCATTCCTACTCATTTTATATTTATAACCAAACAATAAAATAAGAATGACCATTTTATTTCATTCCGATTCTAACTTGCATTGTATTCCATTAGTGCATGCCAAATGCAGCATTAAGAGTATGTTTGTTTTGAGTTTTGAAAAATTGTCTCACAAAAAGGGTTTAAAATTTTTTAAGAGAATTACAATATATTTTTTCTTTTTATCACAGTTTCATAAAATTATTAACCATATGAAATATAAATCATTTTGTAGCTTTTCTTTATAACTTCTCAAAAAATAAAACTATTGTTAAAATGTTAAATTAATTTTTTTTAACCATTCTATAAACCTTAATGCTTTGTTTGGTAGGAAAGAAAAAAATTGGATGGAAAGGAGAGAAAAAGAGATGGATGAGACATCACTAGGGAAATGATTGTGTATTTCCTTTTTTTTGTTCGGTTGGATAGAAGAGTAGAGAATAATTTCATAATTTACCATGTACGTTGGGAGAGAATGAATAGAAAATTTTAATTATTTTTACTATTATATCCAATAAAATTTATAATATTGTAATTTATAGAGGATAGTACTGTAATTTAAAAATTAAATAATTTAAGGTAATATTTAATTTAAGACTTCTATAATATTCCATTTGTCTTTCTTTATTCTATCCATTTTTTTTCCGATGAAAATTTGTAAAGGAGGAAGTATGGCGGCCATCCTTCCTATTCTCTTTTATTTACTTGTATCATTTTTACCGAACAAAAATTGTTCATTCCTTCATATTTTTTCTTCTCATGAAATCAACAGTTGTGATGGACCCCATGCCCCATCTCAAATTTCTCCGAGTCATCCTCCAAAATGGAAAGTAAAAATTTGAGAGAATATAAACACATTGAATGAGTTTTTTTAGGGGTATATATCGTTCGAATTGAACCAATTTGAAAATATTTTGAAACTAAATCATTCCTAACAGCTCTATAAATTAAAATTGAAATCAAACCTAATCGTAAAACTAATGGAACCAAACCAAACCAAATCATGAGAAAACGATTTGGTTCAGTTCAATTCCATTGTTTTAGGTTTTTCTGTAAGTCAATCTAATATATATATAATTAAAAATATATATTATATATAATATAATTTCTATTATGATATAATTTTTATTACATATTATGATATATAATTGAGTGGTTAAAAGGTTAATTTTATTATTCTATTATTTATATAATACAAAATATATAAATGTATATATACACAATTTATAAAACAGTTCAGTTCAGTTTGGTTTGGTTATGTAGAATCTTAAATCGTAATCGAACCATTTATAAATAGTTCCATATTTTTTGAACCAAAACTGAATCAAATCGTGAAAAAAAATTGAACCAAACCTGTGGTCTAATTTAATTTGATTTATCGGTTCAACCAGTTTTTTATACACTCCTAATATATATATATATATATATATAAAATGTAGAAGAATCATTATATTTTTAGACGGACTAGTTGTGAAAGTGAATTAATTAATAAAGTAATGTACCTCAATAGTATTGTAGACTGTCACCTAAAATGAACCTCCGCTTGGGATCATCAATGACCCTAATTAATTTACTTTAATAAAGAGGCCAAACTATTCTGCATATAAATCAATTTTCTACCTGGAAAGAAATTTGTCTTCAAAATTAGGATTAGAATAAATACTACCGATGACCGACTCATTTTTATCTCTTTGCGTGATGATATATTAAACTTCAACATGTAATATCGGTTCAATGGAAGATACAGTGAATATTAGTCTGCCGTGTGCTTGGGTCCTGGTAAAGTCTTTTTGGAAAGACATTTGTTTTTGTAATTATTTTTTCTCTGGATTATGAAAATTCAACTCCATTACATTAGTATATTTTATTTTATTTTTTTATTTTGTGCAATTTTTTTTTTCGGTTAAGTATTTTGTTTGTGTATGTTAAGGACAATATTGTTTCTTTCATCATAAATTTAGAGTCAAGCTGTTTTTCAACCCCACCTCTCTCTCTCTCTCTCTCTCTCTCTCGCACACGCACACGCACACGCACACGCGCCCACACACATGTACACCACGGGTCTATGAATTGGGGGCTCATGTGGCCGGCATTTCCTTAACAAATTAACTTCACCATTCGCTGTCATGGTTAAATTTGTATTGTACATATACTCCTATATACTTAGTACAAATGGGTATATCCTAATGCAACTTCTCTGATCTCTAGCTATCTCTGTAGAGGTGTAGTGTTTTGAGAAATCTGTTGTTAATATATATATATATATATATATATATATATACACATACTTTCTCTATCTGCGGAGATATGATCATATGATGGTGAAGAAAAACATGAGAGTTGACAACAAGAGATAGAAGATCTTATTCTTATTAGGGGTGACAAAGGAAGCAAAGGCTATGGCAACCCATTTCACTGATCAGCTGTAATGATGGGCGGCATGTGGGTAGGACTCAGATGCCTCTCTCTCTCTCACACACACACACACACGCACGCACACAGTAACAACTGTAGACAGACTAATATATATATGTGTGAAAAGACAAAATCCTAGGAACAACTTGCTTGTGCTATCTTCTCTTCTGAAACTTTGGCTAGCCTGCCAACATCTTTTAAATTCCAAACCTCCCACTACTTGTTCTCTCTCTCTCTCTCTCTCTCTCTCTATATATATATATATATGTATCTATATGTGTGTGTTCAAAGTACACACTGCCTATATGTTACTAATAATAAATTTAATCTATATCTGCAGCTATTTATAATGTCATATTAATTATATGAATGTGTGTGTGTATATATATATATATATATAGATATATAAGAACAATGCAGTTAATTAGTTACATAAAATGGAGGTACTTGAGCATAGGTTCATAGGAGGTTAATTTGTTGAAAATAATCATGTAGCAAATTATTTGAACTTATATTAATCTTCTATGGTATTAGTTCAGGAGTCTAGACAATAAAATTACTGATCACTACTGGACAAATGCCCCTCCTAGGGGTATATTAGTCAATTACAATACAGCCCCGCGTACAGCTGGCTAATTCTTGATCTATTGTGCTTCATTGGCCTGGTCTTTTACTTCTGTGCATGCATATGTAATCAAGTTGTAGAAGATTTGAACTCTTTAAACTACGAATTTTTTGTCATGTATTACAACTTATCATGAGGTCCACCTCTAGCCTCCATGATTTTATTTGAATATACTTCTAATATCGACTAGGATCCTCTCTTGTGTATTGAATCGTCTCGTGCGTGAAAGATGTCGGAACCAATGCCAAAGAGTGCAAATTACCCTACATAGAGCGGGTCCACTTTACGTGTGGGTCCACCTCGATCACCTTTTTTTTTTCCAATGCAGTGGACAGGTGCATAAGAGAAAATTCAAATTAGACTATTAATGGTATATGTACCCACACCAAAATAACTTTATCAATCCTACATTACATATGCATATGATGAACCTTCAAGCTTCAATTGATTCATATTACATGGATACAAGAATTGGTGGTTAAAGTAATTGGATCCACTGTCACTTTCAATTAATACTTAGGGCCATATGATTGAGGATATGGAATGATTAAGGTATAGTACTAGCTAATTGAAACCAAGTATATAAATCTATTTTAGCAGCTAAAAGTGAACTAAAAAGTTAAAAAACAATAGTAATGGTTATGATTAAAACTATGATTAATAGAAATCTTTGTAGAAAGAGAGTGCTACACTGCCAAAGATGCTCACACTCTCACTGCAGTTTCCTGAAACTTTCCAGAGCGCATGGAATAGCATGAGCAACCAAAAGGAGGTCAGAGCTTTCCCCCACTTAAATAAAAAAAATGTACAAAAATACATATAATATTATATATTGTAATAATAATAACAAATTGAAATTATTAATTCAGATTAAAATATTGCTTCTGAAATCTCATGCTCCCCATCTGCAAAAATATACTCTTACAGCCCCACCAAACTGACCTAAAAGCCTTATCTTTTCCAAAACCCCATTAGTACTGCTGCATCTCTTTTCAACAGTTGAAACTATATATATATATATATATATATATATATATTTTAATAAGTTCCTCTTTTTTCTCATACATTACATGTTCAAGTACTACTACTACAAGTATTTGTGTTGCATAACAAGTTAGACCATCTATTCTCTTCCTTTATATTTATATACATATATATATAAGCATATCTTCCAACAAACAATATACAAAGAATCAAGATTTGATCTTCCATGGCAGGCTTGGCAGCTCAAGGTATAGCAAATTGAATTTCTTCATCATCTCTGTTGTAAAAAGTCTTCAATTGTGAAAGATATATATATGGTTCATGTCTTTTAATTGTATATATACCATATTTGAGTTTAGAATTTTTTTGGGGTTGTCTTTATTATAGTGGTGGACAAAATGTGGTTGCTAAAACTGACGTTAGCAATGGCTGTATTTGTTTGATGATCACAGTTTTCATGAAATGAATTAAAGATAGTGGTTAGATCAGCTGGTACCAGATTGTACAGAAGCTGATAAAAAGCTGAGGTTATTCGCTCCAAGTTTTTGTTTTGTTATCTGCATACAAAGGAACTGAACCCCAAAATTCTTCTGGTCTGTTTGGCTCTGCGCCGCCGGATTTATAATTCCGGTGGGTGTTAACCGGAGATTAATTTGGCCGGTACATATCGGTATGTCTTACACTCTTAATACTCTATTTGGTGCAATATTAATAAAACTTCTTGATGGCTTGCATGATGAATTCGTTTACTTTGAAACTTCTCCTCTTTCTGTCACAAATTTGACATGGGCTTAAAGATAGTAGATTTATATATACATACATGCATATATATGTGTGTGTCTGTGTGTGTGTCATTTTTTCTTGATTTGATTCATATTCCTGTCAGGTAGTGAAGTATCATTTTATCTTGCTTGGAGACCTAGTATTGTTCATATTTAAAGTTCAATCAATCAATGGATAGTTTGGGTTGGGAGGGCTCACCTTTAATGACCAACACATCATCCTTATGGAGCAATCAGCTGCAACATGAAATTGAAGAAAGCTTCATAGTGTCCAACTCAAATTGCTATAGCAAGATGGTCCTGCCAGAAGAGCATCTCTTTCAACCAGTACTCCCAGAGCTCCAAAAACCCGAGCCATCTCAAGTTAATCCGAATTCTCTAAGCGTAAGCCAAATGGTTCAGCAGCTGGCACCAGGACTGGCTTCCACAAATGTTGTTTCAAACTTGAAATTGTTGCGGTGCCACGAAGCTACAGGAGTAGCTACCAATACATTTCCTGCAAAATCAGTAGCCGGCACGAGTTGGGGACAAGCTCTAACTACTTCTGCTGAGATCAGGCCTCACACCATGAATCCACTGACTAGTCTGATGGCTGATTTTGGCATGCCGGGACAGTCGAGAATTGGGGTTTCGAGGACTACATGCTCCATGGATTCCCTTGATTGCTTATTGTCAGCAACCAACAGCAACACAGACACAGTAGCTGAAGATGATGGGATTTCTATGATGTTGTCTGATTGCAAGAACTTGTGGAGCTTTGGTTCAGTTGATGGTGTTTCATCAGGAGAGTCCATAAGCAATGGCTCTAAAGACAATGAAACAGTCTCTCAATCTTCTTCTGATCATCAATATATCCGTCAGGACCAATCCACGGCCCCTAAGTCGTCTAATGCTATCAAGCGAAGCAATGATGAAATTCAACTCAAAACTGGTGGAAACTATGGTTACTTTGATCTTCTTCAATCAGATTCCTCAGCTACAGAAGGTGGGTTCAAGCTCATTTCAGAGAATATCCCACCAAAATCAAAAAAACCCAAGTGGGAGAAGTGTCCGAATTCATCAAACATCAATTTTCAACAGGCGAGTTCGTCGGTGTCTTCAGCTGAGGAGCCTGATTCAGAGGCCATAGCACACATGAAGGAGATGATTTATCGAGCCGCGGTGTTTAGGCCTGTGAATTTTGGTGTGGAGGTGATGGAGAAGCCCAAGAGGAAGAATGTTAAGATATCAACTGACCCACAAACTGTGGCTGCAAGACAAAGGAGGGAGAAGATAAGTGAGAGGATTAGAGTTTTGCAGAGGCTGGTCCCTGGTGGGAGCAAGATGGACACAGCATCAATGCTTGATGAGGCTGCAAATTATCTCAAGTTCCTCAGGTCACAAGTCAAGGCACTAGAAACCCTAGGCCACAAACTTGATTTAGTGAACTGTCCCACTCCAAACCTTCCCTTCTCTTCACTACCATTCAACCACTCATTTCCCATGCAAATAACCCAATTTCCACCTCAAAACCCTAATCCAATCCAACACCCTAAGAGTTGAAGATTTTCTTTTTTCTTTTTAACCAAAATAGAAAAAAAAAAAAAAAAATTAATATTTGATCATCTCCTTTAAACCCACAAAGAAACCCTAACCCTTGATCCATAATCATACTCATCATCATTTCATCATCAAGGATCAACATCCAAATCCCATTTTATTGCCTAAAAATCCCCAACCCATATCATAATCTCCATCATTACAACTTCTTGTGATCAAGTAATTGATAACTTCTCTTAATTATGATCATAATGATGACACCCACCATCAAGAACACTGCCATGTATCCACTACTGTTTTTGCTGCCTCCACCCTATATAATTGTCTACTGACTTTATGAGAGAACATTGTATAAAGTGGGAGTAGCAAAAAGAAAAGGGTGAGAATAGTCATCCTTTACAAAACCTTTTTCATAGGAAAAAGCCCTAGTAATTATAACACCTATGATTAAGATGAAGGGCTAGAAAGTCATTATCACTTTTATCTTGCTTACGAGTTGTTTAATGCCATTGATCTGTGTACTTAAAGCTGATCACATTTCTTGAAGATCTTTATGGTTTTTTTTTTTTTTTTTACTTTATTTATTTTTAATGTAGCATGTTAGCTAACCAATGCAAGGGACATTCTCTTCACAACTGTGTGCCATAGTCAGTGCCCTTGTCTCCTTGATTCAATCCAAAGCGTGCCCTTGAAAATCACCCCAAACCTTATTGCTAAGCACATGTTTAGCATTCTTCTTTTTGGGCAGATGAGTTATTTTTAGGTTATAGGGGTATCCAATCGGGTATTCAGAACTTTGCTCCGATTAAATTTCAGGGATATCGTGCAAAGCGTTCAGTACTTCATATGAATCTGATTGAGCAGTGAGTTTTGTGACAACCAATGTGCAATATGTTCATATGGATTGTGTGCTGTTGTGCTTGATGATGTGGGTTGATCATGAATTTTGACATTTGGTTTTTTTTTTTTTTTTTGACTTTGTGGTGTAAGGATTGAAAAGTGCCTGGGATTGGATCAAAGAGGGCTTTCGTGTGGGTTGGGATTATTTCTAAATTTAGAAATTCTGTTGTGAAAAGCACCCGGATCTCTCGTCTTTCCTTCGAGTTGTGACAACAGATTATTAAATGTTTCCAAACAAACAATATAGCGTGTGTGCACAAAATCATTATATACGACGTGCATTCATACTTGGTTGGCTCTCACACGTAGAAGACTTGACTTTATGGTTGCGATAGATGTGGTCATGTATATATATATATATGGACCCTATTTGTTCTCTTGTTGAAGAAGACAGCTATGTAACCTCTCGACTTTTCTATCTAGTACCCCAATCCAGGAAAATATATGATTACTCTAGGTAGCGAACTATAGTACTTCCAGACTTGTAATAATCATGTTTTTTTAGTAATAGAAAATAACTATTTATCAATAACTAGGGTTATTATCATTTCGAATTGCTTTGCTTGCTAGTTGCTATGTATAATGTATATAGATGGGAGGCTAATGCTACAAGGAGGGTGCATTTGTTTAGTTTACCCATTGCGGTAGTATTACATTATTTCTAGAAATAATAGAAAATAACTATTCACTATATTGCAGTAGGGTAGTACGGAATTTGTTACTTAATTAAATAGTGATGAACGTTAATTTGTTCAATTTTTGTGATTGATTAATTTACTCATAATTATATATGATCAATCAAATCTCTAAAGTCATAAAAATAAATATTGTAAAGTAAATAAAGTAAAGTAGATTTTAAAAGATGATACCGAGTTTTTAGCGAAGAAATCCTGATTGTTGGAAATCAACAAGTCGTATATGAAAGAACCTTAGAGACTGTTGTTTCGAGCAAAACGATCCACTATAGTTGAAGTAAAGTACAATGGACTCTGACTCAGGCTAACACCCTTTCGCTTTACCGAAAACTAATACTGACTCTCTTGGCTTTGTAACTCTCTCATTCAATAGCTCTCGACTTCAAGTTTATTCTTGATCTCTGTGGAAGGATAGTTGGTAGATCAATCGACACTCCACGAATGTCTTGATCACTACAAAGTGTGATTGAAACCTCCTCTTTCTTTAAATCTGAATTTTGTGAAAGCTTGTTGAAAATCTGTAATTCTAACCAACTTGTAATCTGATGTAAACTCTGAAGATTCTGTGTTTATAATTTAAAGAATATCACCCTAATCACTCTTGTGTTCAAGTATGTGCTCTAAAAAATATACACTTAGATTTTTCTAAAGAAAATTCTTTAAAAACTTTAGTGATGAGTAAATGATGAAAATTCTTATTTTTCCGATTAAAGCAATCAATTTCCCTTTTAAGGTTAGAGATAGATGTTATATATATATATATATATATATATATATATATATTAGAGATCTTGAAATTCAGAGAAAGAATACGAGAATTAAAATTATATTCGATATGTTCACTGATGGTGTTACATCCAATTTATAGAATAGAATCTAGCTAAAATAGGTAACTAATTACCTACCAATTAGCCCTAAATCAGGGGGTAAATAATTCAATCATACGGTTCTACTATAAGAGACAAAATCTCAACACTCCCCCTCAAGTTGGTGTATAGATGTTACACATGCCCAACTTGTCTAAAAATTTTGAAAACACTTGATTTGAGACTGCTTTGGTGAGAATGTCGGCTAGTTGATCCTCAGATCGAATCTTAGGCAACTCCACAATTTTCCCATCCAACTTCTCCTTAATGGAGAATCTGTCTATTTCGACATGTTTTGTACGATCATGTTGAACTGGATTATAGGCAATATCACATGCTGCTTTATTGTCACAATATAGTCGAATAGGTTACCGAGGTAGGTAACCCAAATCCCGCAAGAGAAGTCTTAGCCATGATGTTTCACAAAGTGCAAGCACCATACCTCTGAATTTAGCTTCTGCACTCGAGCGAGCAACAATATTTTGTTTCTTGCTTCTCTATGTAACAAGGTTACCTCCTACAAAAGTAAAGTAACCAGAAGTAGATCGCCTATCATCTATAGCTCCAGCCCAGTCAGCATCAGTATATGCATCTATGTTTTGATAACTAGCATTTTTAATAAAAAAAATTCCTTTTTCCAGGAGCAGATTTCAAATATCTCAAAATGCGCATAACTGCATTCATATGTTGCTCTCCAGAATCATGCATAAACTAGCTAACAATGCTCAATGTGTAAGCCAGATCTGGTCTCATGTGTTGTAAATACATCAATCTCCCTACAAGTCTTTGGTATCTTCCTTTATTAATAGGTACTTAGTTGGATTCAACACATAACTTCAGTCCTTCTTCTACTGGTGTCTCAGCTGGTTCATGTTGTCATGCCAGTCTTTTGTAATAGATCTAAGACATATTTTCTTTGAGATAGAAAGATTCCTTTATTAGATTGAGATACTTCGATCCCAAGAAAATATCTCAAAAGACCTAGATCTTTCATTTCGAATTCTTTGGACAAGTACTTCTTGAGAGCCTTCATTTCTTCAGGATCATTCCCTGTAACCACCATGTCATCTACATATACAATGAGTGCAGTGATCATACCCTGTTGTTTCTTCAGAAATAACGTGTGGTTTGAATTGCTCTGATGATAGCCAAAGGCTATCATAAACTTTATGAATCTTCCAAACCATGCTCTAGGAGATTGTTTCAACGCATATAATGATTTCTTTAACCTGTAGACCTCCCGACTATACTTTTCGGGTATCATACATCCTGGTGGGAGATCCATGTAGACTTCTTCAGATAATTCACCATGCAGATAGACGTTCTTCACATCGAATTGTTGCAATGGCCAATCCAAGTTCGCAGCTAAAGACAATAAAACTCGAACTGTGTTGATTTTGGTTACAGGTGTGAACGTCTCGATCTGTGTAATCGATTCCATAGGTTTGGGCGTAACCTTTTGCCACCAATCTTGCTTTAAAGCCTTCAACTATGTCATTGGCTTTATACTTCACAGTGTAAATCCATCGACATCCAACTAGTTTCTTTTCTGGTGGAGGATCAATGAGTTCCTAAGTTTCATTTTTCTATAAAGATTTCATCTCGTCGTTCATAGCTGCTTTCCACCTAGGGTCAGCTAAGGCTTCCTACACACTGTTAGGAGTAGATACAGTAGATAATTGATTTACAAATGACAAATTTGATTCTGACAAACGATGGTTCGACACATAATTGCTCATAGGATACTTAACTTTACTAGAAAGTTTGGGTTCATATGTGGGTTTAGGAATACCTCTAGTGTGATGCGGTGGTAATTGTTTTCTGAGTGGCTCAGGCACTAAATTAGGAACATCCTCAGCAGTTGATTGGTTTGATATATCAGTTATGAGGGACTCGAACTTGGATGACGATGGGGTTGGCGCCATACTTTCCATATCTGGGCATTTATCACCACTGTGATCCAAACTTATACCACTTGAATCCAATTCGCCCGATTCCTGATTGGTTGGTCTAACTTGTGAGTCATCAACACTAGAATCCCCGTCCTCAAAAGTGTGATAATCATAATCTAGGGTTTGAATTTCGTTCTGGTACTTCCCCTGAAGTTCAAACGCAAAGGAAAATACATCGAGTCTTCATGGAAGACAACATCCATTGTGATAAACATTCGTCTATTTTTTCGCTTTGCAACCCCGTTCTACTCGGGTATATTGGAACAAGTGGTTTGATGAATAGTTCCATGTGCTTCCAAATATTGCTGAAGGTCAAAACTCTGAAATTCTCCATCATTGTCGTTACGGAGAACCTGAACATGTGTATTGTATTGAGTTTCAACCATTTTATGAACAATAAGTTCACTTCACCTTTGGACTTCATCAAGCACAACCAGGTCATCTTGGTACAGTCATCAATATAAGTAACAAACCAATGGGATCCACCTAAAGTAGTGACTTTGGACAGACCCCAAACATCAGAATGTATAATCATAAAAGGAAGTGGACTTTTATGCAAACATAATGGATACGAAACACGGTGGCTCTTTGCTAGTTCACAAATATCACAGCTAAAACTAGAAACATCAAATTTTGAAAACAAACTAGGAAATAATTTTTTCAGATAACTAAAGGAAGCATGCCCCAGACGTCGATGCCACAGACAGATTTCAGATTTCTTTTTCTCCCCCTCAGAACCATCCACTGTTAATGCTTGTCGGAACTTTTGGACATCAAGTCTAAGTAATACAGTTTCCCTCGCCTAATACCACAACCAATCGTCTACTTTGTTTGGATGTCCTTAAACACAAAAAAAATCAAGCAAAAAAAAATTAGGCCAAAAGATAAAGTTGTGGTTATTTGGGAAACTGACAAAAGATTAGAATCTAAAGATGGAACAACTAAAACAGAATCTAAATGCAGATTATCAGTGAGTGTCAAAGATCCGTCCCCAATAACTAGGGTCGAAGTCCCATTGATAGTAGAAACAAATTTGTGTGAGGATGAATTAAGAGGTGAGACCTATCTAGAATCAAATGTCATATGATCTGTGGCACCAGAATCAATTATCCATGCTCTATTAGCAACAGGTG